TTTTTGTTCTTCGAGACAAGGTTTCTCTGTATAGCTTTGGAGCCTGTCCTGGAACTCACTCTGTAGATGAGGTTGGCCTTGAACTCAGAGATTAGCCTGCCTCTGCCTCCCAAGCGCTAGGATTAAGGCATGTGCCACCACCTCCCAGCTGCCTTATCTTATTAGGGTTTCTTCCTTTCCCCACAACCATGCTCCCCACCACAAATGCTAGTAAGAAATAAGTTTTGATATTTTGTCCAGCAATAATTTTTAGGTGTCATCAGTAATGGAAAGGTCCACCATTATCAAAGTCATTCCGTGACTTTTCATCCTTCTTAACCTACTATGTTTCTTTGTGGCACTTCTCATCTCCTGATAGGCACCTGTCACCAGTACACATTCCAAAATTAATGTAAAAGAATAAAACATCAAACAAGCTGGAAATGCTTTGTGATACATTATAAAAATATCAAAGTTCGCCGGGCGGTGGTGGCGCACGCCTTTAATCCCAGCACTCGGGAGGCAGAGCCAGGCGGATCTCTGTGAGTTCGAGGCCAGCCTGGGCTACCAAGTGAGTTCCAGGAAAGGCGCAAAGCTACACAGAGAAACCCTGTCTCGAAAAAACCAAAAAAAAAAAAAAAAAAAAAAAAAAAAAAATATCAAAGTTCAAATGGCAAACAGAAAAAAATAAACATAAAAATAAAAACAACAATGGCCTTAAAACGGTGAAAATTAAGGGTAGGAGAATATTTTTACATCTTATTGAAAACTGTTTGACTCTTTACTTGACTAAAACTCTCTGACAATAAATATTTACTATCCTCAGGCCTTTTTAGTCCGGGATATAAAATGGCCCCATTCCTGTCCATCTCTCTATTTCTTAATGTATTCTGTTTTTCTCCATATTTATCGGTACCTGCTACTTCTGCTGTGCATACTCAGTATGCATCATCTACTACAATGTAAGTGCGAAGTCCAGTTGCATTCTTATTTACCCATCCTCAGGACTCACAACAGAATCTACATAGTAAATATTTGTAGAATGGATCATTTTCTATAAATAAAATGTTTCACTTTAATAATCATAAAAAATTATCTTTAAGTATATATCATTAAAACCAATATTTATACCATGCCTGTCATTCTAATGCTTTGTATATTATAAACTTAAACTCAAACCACTAATAAGTTAATGTGATACCCACCTTACAGATGGCCTCTAATGAGAACTCATTCTCTGCTCAGTTTTGAATTATACGGTACTGTTAACTATCAGAGCCTTCTTGTGTTACAGAACCACACTAATCTCACTTCTGTCTCATTGTGACTCTGTACCTGTTAACTCATCTCTTTCCAGCCTTCCCCACTGTTTTCCTTGGCTTCTGTGCCCACTGCTCTGCTGTCCACTTCTATGAGCATCTTTTTAGATGTCACATTATAAAGTGAAATCACATGGTCTTTCTGTGACTGGCTTATTAACCATTTAACATTGTGGTCTTCAGGTACCACCCACACTGTTGCTAATGACAGGATTTTCCTCTCTTTAAAGGTTTATAGTATCCCAATGTATTTATATATCTCATTTCCTTGATCCAGCTGCTCACTAATGGACAGTGAGGCTGATTCCATATCTGGCTCCTGTGCATAGTGCTTCAATCGATATAAAGGTCCGAGGGTCTAAGTGCTTTGGCTTGCTGTTCTCTTTGACATCTATGTTTACTGGGCAGTTGCTGGAACACATGGCAGTCTTATTCTTAAGGAACTTCCCCATTGTTTTCTGTAGTGGTCGACTAATCTGCATTCTGAACAAGTGCTCCACACCCTCCTCAGTATTTGTCTTTTTAGACAGGTCTCACAAGTCCTTCCTCAGCTTTCTAAGTCTTAGGGTTAGCAATAAGAGCCACATGGCTGGCTAACCTATGCCATTTATCCTTTTTGTTATTTCCAGGTTTACTAAAAGAAGATGATACCTTATTGTGGTATTGTGTGGCAGTCAAAGGCTGAGGCCAAACATCTTCTTCTCTGTTACTCTCTACCTTCTTTTTTGAGAGATGGAGACTTTCACTGAACCTAAATCTCACTGTTCATCTAAGCTGGCTGGCCAATGAGCTCTAAAGATCTGTTCTCTCTATGGGCCTACAAACATGCCCAGATGTACCTGCTTTTTATGTGGGTGCTAGAGATCTTTGAACCCAGATTCTCATGCTTCTACAGCAAGCTCTTTATTGACCGAGCTACCTGTTTGGTTCTTTATGGTTTTAATTTGCATTTTCATGACCATTAATGATGGTGAACATACCTTCATATATTTGTCAACTATTTATACATTATGTTTCAGAAAATGGTGTACTCATATCACTGTCTTGATTTTTAAATTTTATTTTAGGTGAGGGGGTTAGAGAGATGACTCAGTGGTTAAGAGGCCTTGCTGCTCTTCCAGAGGACTCAGGTTCAGTTCCTAGCATCCATATCAGGTGGCTCATGACAGCCTGTAACTCGAGCTGCAGGGGATCTGATGTCTTCGGCCTCTGAGTACATCTGCACTCACATGTACATATCCATATGCAGGCACACAAACCTACATATGGCTAAATATAAGTCTTTTTAAAAAATTTTAAGTGATACATAGAAACTGGAATATTAATCACACATCAAGTAATGTTTCAACACAGGTATAGTAAAGACTATTTTAACTACAAAGTTTAGAGACTTGCAATATAAGTTTATGCTCCAAAATGATAAACAAATATATCCTAAGCAAGGGAGGAAAAGTATTACATACGTCCATCTCAGAGGTGTACTCTTCAGGTTTGTCCATAAAGACTGCAGAGACTGGGACAGATGTGTTTTTTGATATCACATGTTTTAATGGAACTTCATGGAAGATTTGATTTCTTTCTCTCATTGTCATTTGCTTTCGGGGAAGTGGTGAATTAATATAAATTACTTTAACTGGTTTGGAACCTTAAAATAGAAACAAAAGCAAGTGGTGATTAGTATCTAGTAGTTTTATTAAAAAAAAAAAAAAAAAGAAAAGAAAGAAACTGAAAGGATGTCAGAAGAATCACTAACCAGACAGGATAGGGCAGTGGTGCCACGGCTCCTGCACCTGCCCCTCTTGTCCATGTCTTTAAGCCCCTTAGTACTGATGGACAGGAGGATCCAGCCCCCAGGAGAAATGTGTTCCAACAATGTCTAAAGGTCTCTGGGCTTTAGAGCTGTACTGTTAGTTGTCTTTATTCCTTTGTTCTTTCAGGAGCTAGCAAAATACATTTATACTTTTACAAAAGACTACACTTAACTCTTAACCTGTAGTACTGTTTTATCTTCTTTATAAATGAAGATTCAGTCTTTCATTTATATCTTTATGTTTAATATTATTCTGGAGGATAAAATGGTCAAATATGAACCAGACTAACAGAGCAACTAATGTGCAAATATTAATTTACTGGTGACAAAGGCTGTCCTCTGTCAACATACTTTAATTCTGGTTCCCAATAACACACAACAAAGTCCTGGAAATTTGACCCCTGAAAACTGTCTAATAAAGTTATGCATTCCTTCATCCAAGTGACAAACAGAAGTTGCACATCTGCCATATATTTCTGGCCACCCCGAGTACAAATTTCTTCTCTATGTCTTATTCCTTAACATAACTGCAGGTACCACAGGTCTCAGCAGTCAGTTCTACTGCAACTTTAGAGCAGGAAAAGCTCTACTGAGTCTAAATGTTACATTCTCATTCTCCTTAAACAAAGATGGAGATCTGTGTGTGGCACACAGCCATCTATGTCTGCACAGCTGAAATGAGGTAATTCCAGCCCTTCTGAGTACATTATCTGGCATACCAAATCACAAACCTTCCACAGCTATCATCTGAACACACACTGGGATTTCCCACTGCTCCTTGTAGCTTGGTCCATGGTTATTGAGCAAGGTGAATAATGCTTGGCTAGTCAGAGCTATCTGCGGATGGTATCTTGAAACAAGCTTCTCTGCATTCGGGTCTTTACTAATATCCTGAAAAACAATTGTGTTCTGTATTGTGATTTATGCTTCATAAATAAAGAGAACAATGTCCGTCTTATTATCTAGGTCACTCATAACATTTATACCACAAAGTAATGAGGAGGAGGGAACATCACAGAAAGGATGTTAGAACAACCAGGCTGCACATCTTTTGTGCAGTACAATTATTGGGATTATTTTAAGTTTTTAGGAAAGCCACTGTGACTTACATAGTGCAGAGCTTCAGCTTTCTGCTGTGGGGTCTCAATGGAAGACATGTCATCTTTTGAAAGCTGTAACTTCACAGGCATCGAGGGAAATGCTGTTTTTACAAACTTTGCACTGCCCTAAATAAGTGGAAAAACGAATGTTACTGTGAAAACCTTAATGTATTTTTCTTGAAACAGGAAACTTAACTGAAATTTCAAATGTCAATCTTAGAACCTCCTTAAGCCAAGACATTCATTCATAGTTTTGACAACCACATGCAATGATTTTGTTACTGCTATTGTTTCTAAAAAGGTCCAAAGGAGTCTCCTGGAATCTTCCCACCACTTTTGCAGTTTCACTTTTTTTAATGAAACATAAATTACAACACGGAAGAATGGGGCGCTAAACTACCCTTTCCATATACTTATTTCTCAACTATTTGTGAATAATTTTTTTTAAATGGAGTTCCCTGATTTATTTGAGAAGCATTAAGGAAAGTGGGGGGAAAAAAAGTCAAGAAACAAAATTAGTAGCAGTATTTTAAAAACATACGGTATTGCACGTGCATCATGTATCCTAAAAATTTAAACAGTGTCTACATGAGACATAAAGGATGTTTCTAGCCAAAGCTCCCAGTTCCCCCTTCACATTCACAGAATAAGCCTTACCAAAACAAGAAGAGTCTTTTCTAACTTCAATCCCATCTCTATTTTGAAAGGAAAGAATCCCATTAGGCTGGTGACTTCGTGGAGAGTATAAAATTCTGGGTACTTCTTCACTTGTTCAATACAAGCTCTTAGCATTTGCTGTGAAATAGAAAATAAGAACTACTCATTTGTATTATACTTCCCTAACAAATGTACATTGGTTACATATGGCTATAAATTTATTAATTTCAAAATTAGATCCATTTCACTTATCTTCTCTTCTAATAATCCACATATTTTATGTATTTCCTATTTGATTTAATTTCTTAGTTTTCATAACACATTTTAACCTAATTTCCTGAAATAGTGGTATTTAATAATACTAAAACTAGTGATCTTATTAAAATTTAAAATTACATAGAGAAGACAAGATATTTTCTATGCTTCTTAGGAAACTGAAAAAAGAAATGAAGCCACATGAAAATTTCTGTACGATATATTACATACAGTAAAAGCAACACATGAAGCTGGGGCTGGCCGAATATGTGCATATCTGTAATCCCAGTACTTGGAAGGGAGATGCAGGAGGGCCAATAGTTCAAGGCCAGCCTAGGCTACATGACAACTTGCTCTGGAAAAAAAAAAAAGACTAAGTACTTAAGAAAAGTATGTATTTGTGATAACATGTAAGTAGCTCAGAGGAACAGAGCCATCACTGGGGAAAGTTTTGATAATTTTAAAAGCACTCTGTCATCTTTTGCCAATGGATGGAACCTAAACCTTTTAGGATATATTTTATTTTTCAGACAGGCTCTCACTGTGTAGTTCTGTCTGGGCTGGAACTCACTATGTAGATCAGGCTGGACTGGAATTCAGAGATCAGAGAGCTACCTGCTTCTGTCTCCCAAGTGCTGGGATTAAAGGCATGTACCATCACAACCAGCTAGGATGTATTTTAGATCACAGGAGCTCGAACTTTCTATCTATATTCCCTCCTTCTACATAGTTATAAAATGCTTCAAGTTAAAATCAATAACTAGCTCAGCACATTTTTATTATTTAGTTGTGTGTGTGTGTGTGTGTGAAGGAGAGGGGAGAGGGGCAGGGGATAGGAGAGATATGTATGAAGGAGGCAGAGAGAGAGGCAGGGGATAAGAGAGATAACTGGGAGGAGTCAGCTCTCTCCTTCTACCATGTGGGTGGGTCCCTAGGATGGAAATCAGGTAGTCAGGCTTGGTGCAAATGCCTTCAGTGGCTGAGCCACATCTTGTAGTTCCTTTTCCTAGGACATGTGCCCCACTGTGTTTAACACTTTCTTCTTCTTCCATCTACATGCTCTTCAGGATGTCACTCCTAACCACTGCAGGTGTGGGCTAGAACAGAAAAGTTGCTTTACAATTCTCAGTAAACTATACCTTTATGGTACAGCCTCTTTCCTCCCTGTCTGTAGTTTAGTGAGCACACACCTCTGATGGTGCTGTTCTGTCATGGGCACTGTAGGAATTCAACAAACAAAGGGAACTAATATGTAAGCACCAAGTGGCAAGGTCCGTCCTGGTTATTTATCAGCAAATCTTGGTGAAATTGCGCCGGATGTTACAGTGCTTGCAACTGCATTCACTTAACTCAGCACTGCTCAAGAAAAGAAGAAAGGAAACCCCCTGAAGCATTTACATGGCACCACAGTGCATTCTGCTGTCTAATGATGACAGTGCACCTTTACCTGTGGTTCAACTTTGTTTCTGTTCTCTGGTATCAAACAAAGAATGAAGACTGATGGAAAATTCCAGAAACAAAAAATTCCTAGGTTCTAAACAGTGAATAATCTCGAGTAGCACATTAAATTCCTGTAGTCTTGGGTCACCAGCTCTGTCCAAACAAATCGTTTCCTCAGCAGCAACCTCAGGTATGGACTGAAGTGCCTACCTCTATATTCCGAGCGGTCATGAGTTATACTACTTCACACACTAAGTAGTGCAGTGGCCTCTGTGTAACTAACCTGCTAAAGCTGACAGTTCCCTAAGCTACAACAGAGTCTTCTTCACACATTTTAGAGATGCCACTATTATTTACTGCTCAGCAGTTTATGTAAATGTGATCTTTTACCTCTGTGAAGAGACGGGCCTCATCAGAGAGCATATTATAATCCTGTGCACATTTCTTTGCAGAATTCTGCAAAAACTTTAGGAATTCATTAACTTCTTCATTCACATGTTTTTTCATATCCTTAAAAAAAAATACACATCTTTAAATAAAGTTTCACTAAAAATATCCATTCCTCAATAGTTGCCCTAATAATTTGAACTTCAAAGAATAAAACTTCAAATCCAAAGCAGAAACCACAAAGAAAATAATTTAAAAATCACAAATTAATAATTATAAGTTTGTTATTAAAAACTCTATGGAAGGTGCTAAAGAAATGGCTCAGCAGTTAAGGGCATGGTCTACTCTTCTGAGGTCCTGAGTTCAATTCCCAGCACCCACATAGTGGCTCACAACCATCTGTAATGAAATCTGGTGCCCTCTTCTGGTGTGTGTAAAGACAGGTCACTCACATACACTAAATAACAAACAAACAAACAAACAAAAACCCTCTAGGGAATAGTTTACTGGCACCTTGTGGGTTTAGTATTGTGACCTTAGTACTTTGGAAGTGGGGCAGGATTAGTTGTTCAGTCACCCTTGGCTACCAAAGACTGCAGACAACTTGGGACATGTAAGTCACTGTTTCAAAACAAAACAGTAAGAAAAAAATAGAAAACAATCGTTTACAGATAGATACATGGAGATGTTTGTTTTATTGGTATTCAATATATTTATTTAGGTAAAATAAGAAATCATCAATTTCCTCATATGCAACAAAGGCCAAAAAAGAAAGAGCAATGTCTAGTGTTGGTGAAGGTGCCTTCAAAACCTCTTACAGTGGTATAAACAAATAATTCAAACCTTTCAAAGAACAATTTATCCATCCATAACTATAGACCAAAGCTTTAAAAACACATGCAGCATTTGATCTTAAAATTTTATTTAAAAAAAAACAAAAACTTTATTTAAAGACTCTTTCTTAAAGAAACAATCACAGGGACAACCAAAGATTTTGTTAGAAAGACATTCAGCATAGTGTCATTTCTGTAATAAGATTATGAATGCAATTGATTCAAACTGATCACAGCAAGCTTGTAAAGTGCTCTTGCTAGGATGTAAGATGAACTGGAATAAGGCCGCTGCACAGCAGAGCAGGTGCCAGAACTACAATAAAATCAACAGAAGGGTTAAAGTGCCAACACTGTCCCATTTCTGTGAATACGACTGTATCTAATAAGAGAAATAAGCAATAAATTAACAATGACAAAGAAAAATGAAAAGAAATATAAAGGAGAATTATTTCCTGATTCTTGGTATTTTTACTGAAGCTGATGAATACATACCAAATACTGCAGGAATTCATTTGTATTTGTTCCAACAGCTTTGGAACTTGAGGGGATCTTCGCATATTTAGCCAACAAATCCACATAAGCCCTCTGCTCTCTTTGTGAGAACCGAGAGAAACGAGGATAAGGAACTCTTGGTTTTGGAAGGAGAATCATCCCAACTTTTTCCTTTGCTTGAGTTGCTGAACTAACTGCAGGCTCATTTTCTACAGAACTTGCTGAGACATTCAAATTTTCTCCTATACGTCTGGAAAAAAAAATACAATTTACAAATATGTGCTTTTCACATGAAGATTACTATCATGGAACTTATGATTCTCAATCAAAAGGGAGAATAATATGGCATGATTAACAGTAACTTCTGGATTATTATCTAACTCTGCCACCTGCATTTTGATGTTCAGTCATTTAGTGTAGATTAAGTATTCTACATGAAAAGACCTCATTGTAGGCTTACCTTCAGCCACCTGATACAGAGAGAGGCACACTTCAACCAGCTATTCTATTTGGAATTTTCCCCTTTTATTAAAAGAGAAATCATTCTTGTGAATTATACTAACATTTACTTATTGCAATGCTATTTGGTTTTTAATGCTTAATTTCTTCAGTAAGGTATATCAGTTAAAATGGTGAACAAAGGACATTAAGAACAAAATAAAATGAGGTCACATAATTTTCTGGTTTCCATTGGTTATTTTAGAACTTAAAAATAAAATTCCAATAACTGTTATATTTTATGGAAGCAGTAGTGATTTTAGAAAGACTGGACAATCTTCTATCTGTCATGTATATGGTTAAAGCCATGGAAATGTCTCTATGCTTTTTATGGATGTGAAAGAAAAATCACAGAATATCTATAAGGAGGTGTGTTCAAAGAGAAGGCAACGAGTAGTAGCAGCCAGAGAACCTGATATTAGATGTTTGTAAAATGACACCTCCAATTTAAAAAGTCATCTTACTATTCTAGTAGGACACACAACTATAGATTATCTTGTTCATAAATTGTTTCTACCTTTGCCATTCAGTTTTCCTACAATTTCAGTAAGAGAATAGAAATCTACCAAAAAACTCCACTTCCCTTGGTCTCTACAACTCTGATTTCTACCACAATCATTATTTCTTTAACTGGGCTACAAATTAAACAATGATAATTCATGGAGGAAGGAAAACTAATGAGAATGATGGGTATCTATTGACTCATTCACTAACAGTCATTAATAATTATACTTGCTAGTGTATGCTATGTCCAAGAGCTTTAACCAGCAGATTACAGTACAATCTTCAATTGTCAGGATCTTAAACCAGTTGTTTGACGAATGAATGAAAGAAAACCACATCCACACAAAAGAAGAAAACTATATCCATACACACACACACACACACACTCACTCACTCTAATAATATTAGGTATCCAAAGTAAATTTACCAAATAGCTAGCTGAGAAGAGTGGTCTAGAGACCATGGATTAAGAGGGAAAGAGGGAAGGGAACAAAGGTCGCAATCATAACATACTACTTTCCTTATAGCATTCATTTCTTTAAGCCAATAGGAGCATCTAACTCATCACCAGAGGGAAAGGTTGGCCATAATCTGGAGGAATACTGGATGTTCAGAACATATGACACTGTTTCACACAACTTGTAAAGGTTCTTTTTCTCTGACATAAAAACAATTCTGATTTGCTATTACTTTGACACCACATTTATTTTTGTCTATGATCACTGCTTAGTATGTTTTATTCTGCTTCTCTTAAATACAGTCCTGTTCATTTTAAGATTTGATGCTGAGAATTGAATCAAGGGCCTCTTACAGGCTGTACACATGCCATACCCATTGTAAATGGACCATCTTCCCAATCATTGCATTTTCTGTTATAGGAATGTCTGTACACAGATGCACTACACAATACAGGGTAGGTATTGTTCTTTTTATTTCACATTATATATTTGGGACATCATGCTATTTTTAAAGGTTACATTTCTGGTAAACAGCTATCAATCTCATTTTGGGCTAATGAAGGAGGGACATTAGTTCTTAAAAATAGTTGCTATAAAAAAGTACAAAGGGCTGGACGGTGGCGCACACATTTGATCCCAGCACTCGGGAGGCAGACCCAGGCGGATCTCTGTGAGTTCGAGGTACCAAAACTACATGGAGGAACTCTGTGTTGAAACAACTCCCCCCCCAAAAAAAAAAAAAGTTTGGGCCTTATTGATAAAGTTGGGAACTACTAATTTATAATACTATAGTAAATATGGTATAAATTAAAAGTCTGAAAATAGTATTTTAGAAAAGAGTAAGAACCTTCCTCCCTCAAATAAAGCAAAATCATTTTAAAACACTCTCAGAGATAAACTATGAATGGAAAAACTCAACAAATAGCTAATTAGTTAATGGGAAGAGAATTTTGAAAATTAAAATTGGGATGTTTAGGCTGACTCCAGAAATACAGGCAAGAGAATACATATTTAGCTCAAAGTTTCTCTGCTAACTCTATAAAAATAAGCTCATTTTAGGTTAACAAAATGAATATTAACTGCTGATCTTGGTAGAAATGTATTACAGCAAATTGATTTCTCACTAGAATATGTCTTGAGAGCTATTCAAACCTAACAGTATTGTGTCCGCAACTCTTAACAATACTGCTTCACAGCTGTCTCTCTGAATATGAGAACATGTCTGTCCTCCTGGCACAAACTGGCAAATTTAATTAAGCTGCAGCAGCAACGAGATGCTGACTCAGATATGCCCGAGTAGGAATGTCAAGACATTCTAGCAGTTTAAATTGGCTACATGCAGCACAGAATGAAACGGCAGCACATCAAGATCATTTTCAAGTGCAGTGCTGTCAAAATCTTCATCAGGTGCAGCCACAAGTACCCAACAGCACTACCTACATACATTACACCACTGCATTTTATTTCAGTTGATAGTTTGAAATTTCCTCCTTCATTTTGTCAACTATCATTTTCCTTTTTACTTCAAGTTGCTATGAAATAAAGGAATGTTACAAACTGTTAGTTTGCTAGACTCTAAGTTGACTAGTTTGGCAGTTTCTTTAAAAACCACATTTGGAAATATTTCTGAGCTTTATCTCAAAATCTACTTGAATCTTGGAGTTTAGTTTTCTTTTATATTAATCAGTTTACAGCAATTATTTCTCCTCATTTTATTCAGAACTATTTAGTAACTTGGCTTAAACCTCAATTATAAAGACCTGTAACTAAAATGCTTAATTTTAAATAAAGGCAGGTGTTTATTTCTACATGAATAACTCTTTCCAGAAAAAAAATGCCATATTGACTTTCTACTTTATTCACACTGACTTTTGGTTGTGAGCCTAGCCTTTAACGGCTGAGCTATCCCTTCAGCCCTATTCACACTAACTTTTAACATCACATTATTCTGGTGGTACTTGCGTCTTACAAACATGTGCAGAGTACAACAGTCTAGTGAATGCTTTTTATACTGAAATTAAGAGCAAAATGACTTTTGGTGATGCGATGGGGTTGAATAAAAATTTCACAGTTTTGAAGTCAACAAATTCCAACATGCTAGAGAATACAAAAATTACTATATTATGGATAATGAAAAATGTTTTTTCCAACAAGCAAAGTTCTAAATAACTGAACCCCCAAATCAGTTCCTTGCTGTAACAAAAAAAAATCTAGAAACACATATCAATGCTTTGTGCTTCTCTTTTACATTAAAATGTAAATTACACTAATAAACTGTGCTGTATTAAAAAGTCTAAAGACAGGAAAGCATATTCTAAGAAAAAGATTTTAGTTTTTTTTTTTTTTAAAAAGGCTAACTTCCAGAAAAATATCCTCTCCTTTATATAACTATGCCCAAGAAATGCCAAGCAAAACTATACTTCCAAAGAACCATTAAAGTAAGAAGCAGTGGGAGAATGAAGACTAATATCAAAGCCAGGCATGGTAGCCACACCTGCAATCCTAGAACTCAAAGAAGCAGATGCAGAAAGATGAGGGTAGGTCTAAAGAGTGAGCTCTGGGCTAGCAGTTACATAAGGAGACCTTGTCTCAAAAAGAATAAAAAAATAGATAAAGTTAGAAATTTTTATCCGAAATGATGAAGACTAGAACAAAAATCCCAATGAAATTTTATGCAGCTGTTAAAAAAAATCAGAATATCTACAAGAAAATGGATGCAACTACAAATTATTCTGTTAAGCAAAATAAGCCAAACTAAGAAAAACAAATGATGGCCTTACATTGAAATATATATATTTGTGTTAATTTGGAAGTAGAAAATCAAGAGAGTAACAGAGTGCATGCAGTAAGAAAGCAAAGGGTTATCATCTGGGGGAGAAACGGAAACAGCTTAGGGAGTAGGGAGATAATGGGTAGAGGGAATGAATGAGAACACAGTATAATGGAATATGTGGATGAAGATGTCATGATAGAACCCATTATTTTTGTATGCTAAACTAAAACATGAACAAAAGAGGGGGGAAGCCCCCAAATCAAAGCTCTTAAAGAGTGTAGGAAAGGTGCTGGGAGAGAAGAGGATCAGAGAGCTTTCAATAACCTCTCTCCTTACAAGACACATGCACTCCTTGCAGCTACTTGAGATCATTCCTGGAGGAAGAAAGAAGCTTCCAACAACTGGAATGAGAAAGCAGGATCCTGGGAGAGAGCATGCAGCAGACAGAGGTCTGTGTTCCTTGGAGTCTCTGCCATTGCCTAGTCTACCATCATGAATCCTAAAAGGGACTGGTGAGATGGCTCACTGGTTAAGAGCACTAGCTGCTATTGCAGAAGACCCAGGTTCAATTTCTAGCACTCACATAGACAGGTTCACAACTGTCTGTAACTCCAGTTCCAGGGGATCTGATATTCTCTTCTGGCATCCACTGGCACTGTACATATGTGGTACACAGCCATGGCAAAACACCCACACACATTTAAAAAAAATCCTCAAAAGCCTTGGAGAGAGAACCTTAGGAAACTAACACGTCAATTCACATTTATGGGTCCAGTGATTTTGTAACTTTTCCTGATACCATAATGTATATAAATTGATATTAAACAAATAAATAGATGAAAAATGAAAAAAACAACACTATGCTACTTTAAGGGAAGGAGTACAAATGTTAGTTCACTTTGAAAGGCATCCAAACAAGGTGTAATGACACAGAATAGAGTTAAAGGTAGATGAACAGATAAGTGAATTTAATAAAATGTTCACAGAATCCAAGAATTGGGTATAATGGTAGTCCCTGCTGAAGTTCTAATTCTGCTGTGTTTGAATTTTTTCTCTCTACATCAATGTGTTCTTCCGTAAGTTCTGTTATTTTTGAGTGAGTTTCTACTCAGCTTGTCCAGACTTAGCCTTGTTCAACTAAGAGTGAGGACTTGAACAAGGTAATTGGCAAGGTGCCCAATTCTTTCATAGCCTGTTCCTCTGTGACTCGGGACCACAAGGGAACCACCACACTGAGCTCATCTACATGGTGACTTAGCCGTGCCAGCATGAACAGCTAACTTTTCTCACAGTCTGACAGGGGACTTAGTGTAAACCCAGGCAGTGACACTGCTGACTCTGGCTCCAAAACAGGTGCTGATACATGAGCTACTGAAATCGGATCGAAACCAACCACCTGTTAACGTGATTGTGTGGGTATTCCCAGGTTACCGGACAGTGCTTCGGCTGTTCTCAGGCACCACACAGTCCGTCTGTCCTAACCGGAGCACTTCTGTGTAGAGGTCTTCCCGAGACTCAGTTGGCTACTCAAACCTAAGTTAGTCTGTCAGGGATCCTTGTGTTGCTCACAGGTTTAAATAAATGACATTAAGGAGACTGGTGTCAATTCTATTTCAAGATTTTTGTTTCAGATTCTGGGCTGTGGAAATTTTTTTCTTCAGGAAAATAAAGCCAATGGTTGCATACATAATTGCTCCTGCTTTTCTCTATTAAGAGTACATCACACTTTGTCATGACTGGGTATTGTGCTCATTATTAGGTATGGGGCAGTCATCTCAGGGCTGTGCCAGGTAGCACAGTCACTGCTAGATGTCAGGCTGAGTTATCATTTGTATTATTGCTGGGCCATGATTTAGTGTTCTGTTTAAGTAATTAACTGGTGGCTTACTGAATTATTGAGTATTTTTGTGGAGCCACTGTTGGAGATTTCTGTTGAGTCTCCATCTAGCAGCTTTGCTGAATTCTTACTGAACAATTTTGCTGAGTCATCTTTTGGAAATTTTGTTAAGCCACCTTTGGGCAATTTTCTCCAGATTCACTACCTGGAATTTCTGCTGAGTTGTCCCAGAGCACTTCTGTCAAGTCACCCTTGGGGTTTTACTGAGCCACCATTCAGCATTTTCTAAGCTATCTTATGTAGGGTTTCTATGGCTGTGATAAAACACCATGACCAAAGGCAGTGTGAGGAGGAAAGGGTTTATTTCAAGCTTATAATTTCATATCACAGTTAATCACTGAGGCAATCAAAGCAGGAACTCAAAGAGGACAGGAACCTGAAGGTAGATGCTGATGCAGAGGCCATGAAGGACTGCTGCTTATTGGCTTGCTCCTTATGGCTTGTTCAGCCTACCTTCTTATTGCACCTAGGATCACAATCCCAGGGTAGCACAGCCCACATCAATCATCAATCAAGAAAATGTACCACAGGCAGCCCATAGGCCAATCTGGTAGGGGCATTTTCTCAAGTGAGGTTTCCTTTTCCATAATGACTCTAACCTGTATCAAAATGACATTTAACTTGCTAGTACACTGAATTACTTGAGCTTTTGCTGGGCTATCTACTTGGTGTTTTTGCTGACCCATTGTTTGGAGGTTTTGCTGGGTCACCACTAAGCATTTCTGCTGAATCCTCAGGCATTTTTGTGGAGTCACTTGTGAATGTTCTGGCATATCATTTCTGGGCACTGCGCTGAGTCAGCACTTCCCTGCTTCCCTTGAAATTTTGCAGGCAATAACTTGGGTGTCAAGTTAGTTCAGGACCCTTGGCAATTTTCCGAGGCCATGGATTAAGCATATCACCAGACCAACCCCAGACTATTTCTCCTTTGACCTTAAGAACATTTCAGATAAAAGGTAAAGGATGTTGATAAACATCATTTGGTTTAAATAATCAAAGGTACTGAATGATTGGAAAGTTTTATGAAATTAGTTATCTCCAGGAAATGATAAAAACTGAATAACAGTAACAATTTTTTAAAAAAAAATCCATAAATGCATACTTATGAATCTTAACTTTCGAAAGCTTATACTACCAAAAACATTAATTAAGACTTATTTTAATCCTTTAAATAATAATCTGGCAATATCTATCCAAATAAAAGCACATATATGCTTTAACTAAGAATTTATCATCTAGATACATGTACAATAATACATACTATCATAACTCCTATTATATAAAAAGGAGAGTATTTTGATGTGTACAGTACAAGACACACAAACACACACATTCATTATAAACTAAGTCCACAGAAGCATCCTTGATTCTCAGTGGTTTGGATTGAACAGACTAGGCTGAGGGTACAAAATCAGTACTTCTTCAAAGCTTAAAAGTACATCTAATGATGAGGCACTGGGAGAGACATGAAGATGAAGATGGTGAAGGAATCTGAGAACTACTACAGAGACCAGAAGACTGGGAAGAAAGCTGAGTGGGAGAGCTCCACAGTCAAAAGCTCCCTGAGAATGCCAGAGGAAGTTTCAGAAAGCAACCTTTCCCTGTTTTGTAATTCAGCTGCTGATTTGCCTTTTCATCGAGAAGTCTTATCTACCTACACTTAAAATAATTATTGCTGTGAAGGACCATCACTGTTGTGTTATGTTTCCTCTATGCCTGACATATTTTTCATCCCTCGCTTCATGTCAGCACATACACACCTCTAAAGTAGTGAAAGTCAGGAACAGAAAGGATTGTGGAGAGGATTATTTAAAACAGAACTCGCAGTATATTCAGATGTTGATCAAAATGACTGAAAGCAAGAGAAAACGAAGACAGAAGAGTCAGTAGGGTAACTGAGGGAAAGAACACCGAGAAGGCAGAAAGAGGTGGGCGAACGCAGTTCTTCCCCTGTGAAAGCTAACAGGGTTGCAGCAGAGCCAAACTCCTTTGGAGTGAGCGGCTCCCTACTCCACATCTCTGGTCTCCAGAGTTACCCACGGCACACGAGACCCAGTCAATCAAAACAGAAAAAGAGCTGCTACAGGCGTGTGAGCAGGAAGAACTGAACATTATTGCTGAGCAGTCATTTATACCACAGAAGACAAACTTTCTTTTGACTATTTGATACCATCTATTAAAATATAAAATATACACATAGTCTGACTAAATTTGTATGACTTTACCATACAGAAGTAACTGCAGAATTAAAAAAAAAAGTTTCCGCACAGGACTTGCTATAGGAATTTAAAGTACATAAATAAAGAATAGGCAATTAATAATTAAGATTAAAGAAAAATATTATATGTGTGCATGGAAATAAATACAAAACACTGATTTTTTTAATGATAAAAGTAAATTATGAAGTTTTATGGTGTTCTGAGGTAATTACAGCTATGAACTCATTTTGTGTATATAAATACACAGCCATATAAGGAGAAAGGTAAATATCAAAATGTTATCAGTAGCTTTCTTCTATTTTCTATTTTTCACATTTTTATAATTTGAATGTTTACAAATATAAATAGTCATAAAATTTCAACTATCAGAAAAACAGCAATGAAATGTGAAAATAAATAACCAATTGAACATTACCTGTTAGACAAAATATAGAGTTCTTTTAAGCTTGGAGCCATGGAATGATCTTTGTAATTTTCTGGAGAGAAAAATGCCTTAAGGCCATTTTTGGGTGTAACATCCCTGTGAAATAAAGTAATTTATATGCATGTGACAATTCAAAATCTCATGTTAGACAAAGCAGCATAATGCTACAGCTGTAATTTATGACCTCTACCCCAGCTTTTCCCAGACCATCACCCCTAGTCAGTTTAATTTCATGTGTCAGATCCTGTGTGTTTAGATATTCTATTTCTTGGATGGCTTTAAGCTTAGGGCAGTATGAGATTCTCCAGTGCCAACAGTCTGTTTCCCTATAGTATACAATTAAACTTCAGAAACTCAAACATTTAAGATGGAACAGAAGGAAGTATAATCAAGGGTCTGTCAGAGACAAGGCTCATCTCTGGCCATGAACTGTAATGGTAAAATATTTGATGACAAAAAAAATGTGGCTCAACTTGTTTTTGTTTTGTGTACTATTGTGCCAAATGAAAACACTGGCTACCCTATTTATTGTTATTGTCTGATTTTGCTAAATGGAGTAAATGATGGGTGTTTGCTAAAACCACCTCTAAAGTGATGAGTTTCATAACATCAAAATTAGTTTGAGCCTAATATAGTCAATGCTGGTTAAATCAAAGAAAAAAATAGAAAATACTGAGATTAATCTAGGGAGGACACTGACCAGCAGGACTCTGTGGGGAGAAAGAGCTCCAAAGTCTTTAACACTGAAATTCATTTCGGTTTCACAGTGCCAGAGGTGTACAGGAATATCTGCACAGCATGTGGACCACATGCTATAGTACTAGGAAGGATCTTAAATGATTCACTACAGGCTGGGCATGATGAAACCTTTAATCCAGCACTCAGGATGCAGAGGCAGGTAGATCTCTCTGAGTGAGCTCCAGGTGAGCTAAGGTTACTTACACAGAGACGCCATCTCAATCCCCACCCCCTCCAAAAAAGCCCATTATAATTGACACTGATATGTTATGGTCAATGCTGCTTTAGTGAAGGAATTAAAAAACTTACAATGTTGAGAACAATTTCAGCACTTCTCCCCCAAAAGAAAACAATAATCATAAGATGAAATTATAACTAAGAATCTGGGTGCTGAGTTATTATTTTAAGAGTCGAAATTGGTCAGCTATAACTCAAAAGGCTTGGAATATGAATAGGGTAAATTCTGAGACCCTGAAAATTTATTTTTCTTTTTCTTTTCTTCTTTCCTTTTTTTTTTAAAAAACCTCTCAAGCCAGAAATCTTCCCTTCCTATGATACCCACCGTCCCTGCCTCGCTCCTCCAGAGTGGATTAGGAAGAGGTCCAACTCACCAGTTCAGTCTCGGTTCACTCATGGTTATGCTAGAGCTCATCTTCCTAGATTTCTCCTTCACTCTAGCTCACAATATTTCAGCCTGGCAGGGAAGGCTCCAAGAGAATGAGGATCGGATCCTTCCTAGAGTCTACATTCAACTGAAGAAAAACAAAAGGTCAAGATCAAGCCGAGATTATGAACTCGGGCGGGAAGGAACCTTAGCTTTAACATCTACCCTCGACTGACTAAAACCAACAGCAGAACGTGGCCGCCGATTCTTTGTGGCGAAGCCGACACAGGAGGGGTCATTCCCCTTTAACTGGAGCAAGGAGTGTTAACTGGGGACATCAGCTGAGTCAGGAAGAAACCCAGACCAGAAGGGTGTTCTCGCTTTGTTCACACCACGGCAGACCGATGCCTTAGCTCTACCTGGCTCCCTCGCTACCGTTTTAAATCTTGTTTCCATTCCCTTCGGGTCAGACACTGTCGTGGGGGGCAGATCCTGACACCATGCACACAGAAAAGGCTCTCTGGCTCCCAGGGACCTTGCATCTTTCAAAGGCCACTTTGCATGTGTGAGAGCTCAGGAGGGGCTGGCCACTCAAGAGAAAGAACCATTCATGGGCACCCTCCGAGGTACCATTAGAGAGACACACAGGGAAGGCTGGAGCTTGATGTCCCCATGCTGGGTGCCGTGTCCTGTCGCCCCGCGCGGGCTGGATAGCGTTAAGACTCAAAGACTGGCTTTCTGGGCGCCTGTGGGGGTCTCATGGGCTTCCTTCTCAACCTACCGACCCCACGTTTCCCCTTTGAGTGGGGCCGAGGGGGAGGGGAGGGGGCGGTGAACGCCGAGGGACCTGAGGGGAGGCAAAGAGAAGAGAAAAGTATCGGGAAAGGCACGGGCGAGACGAGTGGGGGAAGCCGCTCAGGGCCTGTGAGGGAAGAAGGCCTGTGAGGCAAGCCCGCTGAGGCGCTACCTCAGACCCGGGCCGCCATGCTCCCTCTCCCGCCCCTTCGCGTCCCCGGCGAGCCCGAGGGAGTCCGCGCGCAGCAGCAGCCGTCGCCGCCGCCGCCCTTCCGCCCACCTCAGGGTCCCAAGCGGCTCTGGCCCGGGGAAAAGCCGACCGTTCTACACACGCTTTGCCGAACTCACTGCGGCGCGCCCGGGAAGGCCTCATTTAAAGGCCCCCGAGGGCGCCCGCACGGCCGCGCGTGATGACGTCACGCGAGCGCCGCGGGCGGGGCTTGTGTGCGAGTCCCCAGAGCGGACGGACGGACGGAGGGACGGACCAGCCGCAGGGAGGGTGTCCAGAGACCCGCACAGACAGAGCGGGCTGTGACCTCAGGCTTCCCTAACCCTGAGCCTGACTCTTAGTTTTTAATGTGTGTTTTGTTTCAGAGATGGGGGTCTCGAGTAGGCCAGGCTGACCTTAAACACCGTAAGTAACACAGCCGAGGATGATGATCTTGAGTTTCTCATCCTCCTGCCTCCACATCCTGAGTGTGGGGATTACAGACGTACACCACCACACCTCATGTATATGGTGTTGGGAAGGGAACCTAGCCCTTCAGGATGCCAGGCAAGCACTCTCCCAAGTTACATATTCAGCCTTTTTCATCAATTCTTAATACGTACACGGGGCTTTTGGAAAGGTCTACATAAGACAGAATGAAGCTGTGTTTAGCATACTACTCAACACATGGTAGGCCCTCATTACACCCAAATTCTCCATTCCACTCACTGACCCATTTTAGATAGACGCCAGTGTCTGTTAATGGGCTCTCGTGTTTCTCACACTTGTCTTGCTGCGATTCATAAAGAAAAGATGTACTGAGCACGTATACTTCGTGTTTGATGTTGAGTTCACAAAGGACCAAGACTAACTACTGTTTTTTTTCCCAAGAACTTTTGATCTTGGGGACTCTAAAGCCTCATTGATTAAATGAAACAAACAAACAAAAAAAGTGGTGAGCTACTTAAGAAACGTGTTACTGGGGCTGGAGAGAGGAGGGCTCAATAGTTCAGAGTGTTTGTTGCTACTGTTCCAGAGGACTCAAATTCAGTTCCCAGCCCCCACATCAGGTGACTCACAACCATTTCTAATCCAGCTCCAGGGGATTTGGCACCCCCTGCTGGCCTCTGTGGGTACCCACACACATGTGGCATGCACACAGAGGCACTTAAATAAAAATAAACCTTCTAAGACAAGGTGTTATGAATTGGATTATAAATATCTCCTGAAGATTATATGCTAAAGGCTTGGTCACCAAGCCTGTGGAGTTACCAGGATATGGTGGGTTCTTTAAGACACAGGTTCTACTTGAATTTAGGTCATTGAGCACATATACTTTATGTTTGGAGTTGAGTGCATGAGGAACCAAGTCTGCATACTGAGTTTTCCAGAACTTTTGACCATTGGGAGTCAGTGACAGAGATACTGTTAGCCCTTCTTGCCCTCTTTTTGATTCTTGGTTACCAGGAGGTGCAGAACTGTGGACTGCCATGTGCTTTTGGACACTGCGTTCTGTTTCACCATCGGCCCAGAAACGAGTCAAATGTCCACAGACTGAAAGCAGGAGGTAAATATAGACTCCCCTCTATTATATCAGTGACAGAATCAACACAACGGTGCAAGCAAGACATTTTGTGAGTTCGGAGGAGGGAAATGGCTAGTGTGAGGGACCGAGAGTGTCTTTGAAGAAAGACGTGTATTTGCTGTCATGGGATGGGGCAGTTTTCCTTTCTCCACAGTTGATCTTTCACCTCACAGACCAAAGAGCAAAGGATCAAACTGATCTTGAACGGAAACCTCAAAATAGGAAAGTCTTCCCCCCTTTTAACTTGTTTGGGTCTGGTATGTTGTCATAGTGATGAATGTAACTTAACATGTGCTGTTGTTAAGAATCCAGATTATTGTTAGCATTATGCACTGGCTTCATGTATCTGAGTCCTAGTTAGGGCAAGACGGTATATAGAATGACACTTTTTTAGGATCAGAAATCACTTTGGATATTGTTTCAGATAACCATTCTGTGCCCAGGCAGTCAACTCACCTTTTACCATCCTGTGACCAGTGAACTAAAACTAAAAATATCGTCTCGTGACTTCAGACATCTGTTAGGCACTGAATGTTTACCGCCCTACCCATTCATATGTTGAAGTCTTAACCTGCAGTGCAATGGTTCTTTGCAGTGAGAACTTTGGGAAGGAATTCAGTATAGCTGGGTAATTATGTATAGATTATAAGAAAAAGAAGAGAGACAAGATATCCATCACCATGTGACAACATAGCAAGAACGTAGCCATTTGCAAACCAAGATCCTACTTGTCCAGTAGCTGGGCCTAGAATTCCCAGACTTCTGGGAAAAAGTTATATATCTTTATATATATGGACAGGGTCTATCCATGTAGTCCAGGCTGAGTGAGCTTGTGTTTCTCCTGCCTCAGCTACCCGAGTACCAGGATTATAGGCCTCTACTGCTGATATTTCCCACTCCATTATCCTTCCTTGTACCAAACATCATTACTTATTATTGGCCTTTTCATTCTATATATTTTCCAGAGATGTGTCCACTTTTTCCTACATTTTCCAATTTGCTAACATAGTTATAAAAATGCTTTTTGATGTTACTTTGTACTTTTATGATCTCAGCTGCAATATGTGCTCTCCCTTTCAATTTTACTCATCTGCATCTTCCTCTCTTTTATTTGCTTGAAACATCTTTCTATCTCTTTCTTTTTGTTGTTTGTCTTTCCTGGTGTTGGGAATTTCTCATGGACAGCGGATGTTGGTGGCTTTTGTTTCTTTTGCTGTTGTTTTGGTTTTTGATTTTTTTCTTTTCTTTTTTTCCCCCATTTTGTTGTTTTGAGACAGAGTCTCCCTATGTAGCCTTAAACTCACTATGTAGCCAGGATAGCCCTGAACTTATAATCCTCTCAAGCACTAGGGTTATAGGCATAGGCATACATTACCGTACTCCAATAGCCTGTATGCTTTAATTGGAGAATTTAGTTTACTTGCGTTCAGAGATTTTATTAAAAGATGCAGGGTTATGGTTGCCATGCTGTTGATTTTCCTCTAGCTGTTTTGAGAACTTTTTGTTTCCTTTTTACTCACTCATTTTTGTGACAAAAAAAAAGGGAAATGTGGTGGTATTGTGTTCCCCAAAATATTGTGCACCCTAACAAAATATTGTGCACCTCTGACTTATCTGGGGTCAGAGACAGAACAGCCACTAGATACAAAGGCTAGAAAATGGTGTCACTCACACCTTTAATCCTAGCTTTCCAGAGGCAGAAATCCCTCTGGATCTCTGTGAGTTTAAGGCCACATTGGAAACCGCCAGGCATGGTGACTCACGCCTTTAATCCCAGGGAGTAGTTAGTAGTAAAAAGCAGAAAGGTATATAAGGCGTGAGGACCAGAAACTAGAAGCATTTGGCTGGTTAAGCATTTGGCTAATTAAGCATTCAGGCTTTCGAGCACAGTTCAGCTGAGAGCCATTGGGATGAGAACACAGAGGCCTCCAGTCTGAGGAGACAGGATCAGCTGAGAAGTTGGCCAGGTGAGGTTAGCTATGCCTTATTCTGGTTCTTTGATCTTCCAGTGTTCACCCCAATACCTGGCTCAGGTTTGATTTTATTAATAAGAACTTTTAGGATTCCTGCTACAGACAGTTTATTGTGGGACATAAAGACAATGTCGGATTCTAGATCTCTCTTGTGTGTCGTCTATTCTGTGTACCTTCTTCCTTTCACTTCCGAATCCCCCATGAAGTAGCCGTTGTAAGGCTGGTTTGGTAGCTCTGAAGTTCCTCAGTTTTTGCTTATCTTGGGAGATCTTTCTTTCCCCTCCACTTCTGAAGGATAGCTCTGCTGAGTGTAGTAATCTTGATTGACAGTTGTTTGCTTTTCCGACTTGAAATATGTCATTCTGTGCTCTCTTTGCCGGCGGGCTTTTCCTGAGAAATCTCCTTTTAACCTAATGGGGCTGCTATTAAATGTGATTTAGCACTTTGGAGACTTTATAGTTCTTTTTTGTTATGTACTTGGCTGTTTATTGATTTCTTATTGCTGTTGTCCTGAGGATTTAACCCAGGGTCTTATGTATGCTAGCCAGGCACTCTAGCCCTGCGCTATCACCCGAGTGCTGGCCTATCCTTCAGACAGTGTGGTTGTGTAATGGTGAAGATCCTTTCCTGTCATGTCTTTTTGGGGGTTCAGAAGTCTTCTGTACATGGATGTCCATGCTTTTCTGAGACTAGGGAAGTTTTCTGTTAGCATTTCACTTAATGAGTTTCCTCTACCCTTAAACTTTATTCTCTTGACTTGTGTATGGCAATAATGGAAATGTTCATTTATTCAATGGTATCCAAATTTTGAATGCTCCCCTTTTTCTTTCTTCTTTGGCTGAATTTGGTATTTTGAAAGGTCTGTCTTTAAGTTCTCATAGTCTTCTCCCACTTGATGTGTTCTGTAGTTGAGGCTTTCAAATGAATTTTCTAAAAGACATTTATTTTTAAAATTTTTGTTTTAGGTTTATTTGTTTTATTTTAAGTGTATAAAATATTATTTTAAATGTTTTGCCTGCATGTATGTCTGTGCACCACGTGTGTGCAGGGCCTGTGGGGTTAGGAATGGTTGAGCACCACCATGTACATGCAGGAACAAGTGCTCCGAACTGCTGAGCCATCTCTCCAGGCATTATTTATTTTTATTTTATTTTATATGTATGTGTGTGCATGAATGTATGTGTGTGTTCTATGTACATTTGCAGTGTCTTCAGAATGCCAGAAGAGGGGGTTGGACCCCTTGAAAGTGGAGTTACAGGTGGGTTTGAGCCACCACGTGAGTGCTCAGAACTGAACTCAGGTCCTCTGCAAGAGCAGCCAGTGGGTGCTCTTAACCACTGAGCCATCTCTAAACCTCAATTGAACTTTTTTTTTTTTTTTTAAATTAGACTCATTCCTCATTTTCAGTATTTCTGTTTGGTTCGTGTTAAGAACCGGTTTTC